ATTGGCCTAGGGGGGGATTTTATAGGGATTTTAAAGGGATTTTATAATATTAAACTTAATACAGGTTATTTAATATATATTTTAATTTGGCTTTTAGAGATGTCTATTGTATTGTACTGTTTTTATTTACCTGTAAGCCGCCCTGAGTCCCTCGGGAGAAGGGCGGGGTATAAATGGGATTAAATAAATAAATAAATAATATTATATTATATTATATTATATTATTATATTATATTATTATTATATTTACTGTACTCTGACTGTTGACTCAGTCTGCTCGGTTGCACTTCGGTAGGAGATTTGGGGTAAAGATGAACACATTAGAACTTCAGATGAACTTTGCTGCTGCACGGGGTCTTGATACAAAAGTCAGAAGAATGCACAATATTGCAAATGTGCACAATCCTTCTGCTTTTCTTTCGTTAGCCTTAAATGTGCTGCTCATTTTTGAGGCGGGATATATCCTCCCTAGAAATCCGAATTTGACGAAAGACAATATAAAAAGGGCAGAAAGAAAAAAGAACCTGTAAATGACAGTATGAAAATGCCAGAAATAAGAAGACTCCATAAATATGCTGACAGTGACACGTTTCCTTCCATTCTCTTTTTGTTTTCCCTCCCCTCCCATCCCAGGAGGCTGTCTCCGTTGCTGGGAATGAAGAGCGCTTAGTGAGGGTACATGACGTGATCCAGCAATTACCCCCACCGCACTACCGGTAGGCATTGTTGGGGACATAGATAAATGCCAAGAGAAGGGAATGCAATGATGGGGGGTGGGGAGGTTGGATGGGGAGAAGCCTCTGAAGGGGAAGAGCGCTCAGCGGGTTGAAGCAGACTCTCCCTGTAGCAGTTTCTGCTCTATCCCAACAGGACTCTGGAGTTCCTGCTACGGCATCTGGCAAGCATGGCTATGCACAGTCAAAACACCAGCATGCACATCCGCAACTTAGCCATCGTTTGGGCACCCAACCTGCTGCGGTGAGAGGCCCACACCAATGGCCCTGCCCTGGCGCTCCCTCTGCGACTCTGCCTTGCACCGCTCTCCAAATACTTTTTGAGTTGCCAGTCATTCTTCTCTCAGCTAGCTTTACCGTCGGTGCTAACAGGGGAACATGTAGCTCAGCCTTTCCGTTGGAGAGAAGGAGCCACCAGTCTTGAAGGTCCCTTGGGTGTCTCTGCTTCGTTCCCACCACCTTGGTGGCACCTTGGCCTGAAGGGATGGTGGTGGGGCTTGGTCCCCATTGCGATTTTGCCAGCAGCCATTTTGGAAAAGACCTTTTAGCAGGCTTCAAAACCAACATCTACCCTGTCCTGCATCAGGACGGCTGAAAAATCAGCGGAGGGGGTTTCCTGCCATTTTTTAGAATGTATTTGATTTATAATAGAGTGGCTTTAAAAATAAACAGCATCTTTCCCCCCCAAAATATTTCTGAAAAAATGTTTCAGAAAACCTTGGTTCGGCTAATTTCTGTAATGTGGTCTTAGCTACATTATTATCGTTGCTGCTTCTCCTGTAACAGCTACCACCCTCCCCAAAAGTGGTCTGTTCTAACAAATCTGAAATGCTGCTTTTTCCCCATCTGCCTGCCTTATTCTGCCCTACCGTTTTTTCCCCCATAATGCCCCTTCATCCTCATTTTCTCATAATCCCTCATGGTGCACTGCTCTGTCTGCACCCATGAAGGACTTCAATCATGATGCTTTTTGGATTTGGGCTGCCCTTCCTGCTATGTTGTGTCCCCTTTATGCCATAAACCTGGCTTACTGGGCCTTGGCCATCATGCTCTTCCTATCTGGGCCTTTCTCTTGTCAGATGGGGCTAATCATTCTTTCCCCTTTTAATGCCAGGTCAATGGCTCTGGAGTCAGTTGCACAGTGTGGCGCCGATGCCTTTCAGGAAGTCCGGGTTCAGTCCCTTGTGGTTGAATTCCTCCTCACCAATGTTCAGGTTCTCTTCAGTGACACCTTCACCTCCATTGGCAAGGACAGCACAGGTACCTCAACAAATGGCTAATACTTTCAAGGTTGCTTAGAACTTAGCAACTCCATAGCGCAAGGGTCTTCAAACTTGGCAACTTTAAGACTTGTGGACTTCAACTCCCAGAATTCCTCAGCCAGCCCTGGCTGGCTGAGGAATTCTGGGAGTTGAAGTCCACAAGTCTTAAAGTTGCCAAGTTTGAAGACCCCTGCCATAGCGCAATGTTTCTCAATCTTGGCAACTGTGGACTTCAATTCCCAGAGTTCCCTAGCCAGCATGCTGCTCTGGGGATTCTGAGAATTGAAGTCCAGACATCTCAATATTGCTAAGGCTGAGAAACACTCTTCCAGAGCTTTGTGAATGACTTTCAAATGTTCCTCATCTTAAACCTTTCAAATGACAATACTAAGGAAGTTCTGGTTGCAATTCGTGCAACTTCTAAGCTGCAACCTAAGATTAAATAAATGCATCTGATCCGGTGTTGAGTTATGTGCTAGTCTTGATCCTTCTCTTAGGAACCCAGGAAGATTGTAATTTAAATCAGCAGATGCATACTCATTTCTGTGGGTTTCACTTTTCTGTTTTTAAATTCATCAAACATTTAAAAGTACTTGCCAAATTATTCAGGTTTTGAGGGATTCCTTGGTGCTCTCTGAGCTTGCGTGTTTTCTTGCAGACATTTCATTACCCGAACTAGGTAACATCATCAGTGCTAGTCCTGACTAGTCCAGACTAGCCCCGATGATGTTACCTAGTTTGGGTAATGAAACGTCTGTAAGAAAACAACCAAACTCAAAGAGCACCAAAGACCCCTCATGTCAACCCCGAGTTACAAATATTCTCCTTTATTAGTATTCAGATTTTTTTAAAAGGAGGGAAGGATGTGTTAGTGATGGCACAGGAACCAACCAATCATTTTCAAACGGTTTTTCCATAATCCCAATTAAAACATGGCACAGGCAGGCCCCCACGTACGACCACATGATCATGGGGATGCTACAAAGGCTGTAACTGTGAAACATAGTCATAAGTCACTTTTTTCAGTGCCATTGTAACTTTGAACGGTCACTAAATGAACTGTTGTAAGTTGAGGACTTCCTATACCAAATGCCAGAGCTGAGGAATTCCTGCCTCTGAAATAAAACAAATAAGCATGGCTTGAGGGCTCTTTGGGGGCTTCAGCCCAATTTGACGTTGCACCATGATTTTTATATCACTGTACTATTCCCCGTCTTCTCTAACAGGGCGTTGCTTCCTTTCTCGACCCAAATCCCAGTTGGTCAGCTGCCCTTCCACCCGTTTGTTATCTCTTGAAGAAGCCCAAGCACGCACCCAGGCCCTCTGCAAGATCACCAAGCTGGAAGCCAGACGTGGATCTCCAGATCCACAGGAGGATGGGAAGCTCTCTGCTGTTTTGGGATCACCTAATACTAGGTAAGTGTTGCATCCATGGACCGAGGCACTGAGCCTCTAGATCAGGGGTGGGGGAACTAGGATCCCTTTATGACTTGTGGACTTCAACTCCCACAATTCCTGAGCACAGCTGGCTCAGGAATTGTGGGAGTTGAAGTCCACAAGTCATAAAGGGGTCCTAGTTCCCCCACCCCTGATCTAGATACTAGGAGCTGGAGAAGATTTTAAAGATTAATATACAATTGAAACCAGAGATGTTTCTTTGGGGACTAATGAATAGGCAGCTGGAAGAAAAATGGAACTTTGTTCTTATATATGACAACTGTACTGAGCTGATTGTATCCTCAAAAGTGGGGAAGTTTGACACAATCGAGGAACGGTTGGTGAAGATGATGGAGCTTGCAGAGATAGTTCAACTGACTTCTTTGATTAGAGAAAGAATATCTACATTTATGGCTGACTGGAAACCCTTTATAGACTTTTTGCATGAAACAGAAAAAAATGCACTTATGATTTGTGGTTTTGATGATTAGAAAAAAACAGATAACAAAATGAGTTAAGAATAAAAAATAATTTTATCATCAGAATTTACTGTATATTTGCTGGAAAGAAAATTGGAAGCTTCTTTTTTCTATTTTTTATCTTTTCTTTCTCTTCTACTTTGTTTTCCTCATGTCTGTATTAGTTTTTGTTAGTTTTTAACGTGTTCTTTGCAACTTTTAATAAAATTTGTATTAAAAAGTAGAAATTAGCTGCTGGGAACTAATTACAGTTAAATGTTTATGAATACTTGCTGAAAGAATATGGTGATTTAGGGAAACATTCTCATGTTTTCATGAAAGACCATTATCAGATTGTTATATGCAATTAATTTATAATATAGATAGCCCTTGATGATGATGATGATATGATGATGATGATGATGGAAGGGACCTTGGAGGTCATCTAGTCCAACCCCCTGCTCAGGCAGGAAACCCTATATCATTTCAGACAAATGGCTATCCAGTCTCTTCTTAAAAACTTCCAGTGTCAGAGCATTCACAGCTTCTAGAGGCAGGTTGTTCCTGGTTAATTGTTCTAACTGTCAGGAAGTTTCTCCTTAGTTCTAGGTTGCTTCTCTCTTTTGGTTAGTTTCCATCTGTTGCTTCTTGTCCTGCTTTGGAAAATAGCTTGACTCCCTCTTCTTTGTGGCAGCCCCTGAGATATTGGAGCGCTGCTATCATGTCCCCCCTTGTGCTTCTCTTCATTAAACTAAACATACCCAATTCGAGCAACTGTTGTTTATATATAAAACTCACATTACAAATGTCTCACTTAGCAACAGAAATTTGGAGCTCAGTTGTGGCCGTAAGTCGAGGACTTTACCTAAACTTGCTAGGTGGGGATCCCTTCCTTCCGGCCTCACTAAAAACCCCAGTGAAAAATTCCGGCCCCTTCTGAGAATTAACAGTCAACTTCAGTTGTCTGATCTGGAGCAGGACTGAGCTGCTTCGTTGTTGGTGCTGATTGCTCTGAGATGACCTCTCACTTTGTAGGCAAAAGACAGAAAACAACGGGAAGCTGCGGAAAATATCAGGACCTAGTTGGAAGGCTTTCTTCGCCATCGGCAAGGCCCCCGTCCCCTTCCGCAAAAAATCACATCGCTTGGGAGAGATTTTTGGGCTTGGAGAATCTTTACCAGGTAAGGAAACTGGCTTACACACCATTTTTTAAATTAGTCCTAACATCACAAGCACAGACATATTTTCAAGATTCTCATGAGCCAGAGCACATATGGGAAATTATGGCCTACTAAGTGTGGCTGAACTACGACTCCCAGCATCCCTGTCAATGGCTAACGGTAAGGAATGCTGGGAGTTGTAGTTAAGCAACAGGGGGAAGACCATATGGCTTTTTACCCTTTGGTTAAACATTTGCAAGTAGTCCTCAACTTACAACCGTTCATTTAGTGACTGTTCGAAGTTACAGTGGCACTGAAAAAAGGGACTTATGACCGTTTTTCACACTTATGACCGTTGTAGCATCCCGATGGTCACGCGATCAAAATTCAGATGCTTGGCAACTGACTCATATTTGTGATGATTACAGGGTCCCAGGATCATGTGATCCTCTTTTTGCGACCTTCTGACAAGCAAAGTCAATGGAGAAGCCAGATTCACTTAACAACCGTGTTACTAACTTAACTGCTGTGATCCACTTAACAAATATGGCAAGAAAGGTCGTAAAATGGGGCAAAACTCACTTAACAACTGTCTCGCTTAGCAACATAAATTTTGGGCTCAGTTGTGGTCGTAAGTTGAGGATTACCTGTACTTTACTTTTTTTGTCTAAGGACCCAGAACTACTCATACTCAATGCTAGGATTTCACAATAAGCTAGACTAATCAAGGCTAAAATGGGATTGGCTTGTTTTTGGCTCAGTGTGTTGTGAAAATATGTTCACTTTTTTTTACCTTGGAGTGTGGAATTGACCACCACACTCAGCTCTAAGAAGATTTATCTGTTTGAACATGGCATATTGTACGAATACAGCATTTCTGGTTTTTTAACCTGTGGGTTTCACGTGTTGTGTCAATTTACTCGTTATGACAGAGTTATGACATGAGCAGGATGTGATGGAACCAATCAATCAGAATAGAGCTGGAAGGGACCTTGGAGGTCTTCTAGTCCAACCCCCTGCTCAAGCAGGAGTCCCTATATCATTTCAGACAAGTGTCCAGTTTCTTCTTAAAACCAGATAAGCAGTATATACCATTATCTTTTTTTGAAATATCAATTGGGCAATATTTTTGTTCCGTGGATTCAAAGTCAAGGAGAGATTACAAGCTTGTGGCCTTTTTTAGAGGGATAATGATAGCTTGTTCCTTTGTTCTCTCTTTCTGTAGGAAGCCGTGGTGAGACAGTCACTTTGCGATCTGCCAAAAGTGAGGAATCTCTAACGTCTCAGGCCAGTCTAACAGGTAATGACCCCTTTGTCTAATGAACCCCCGTGATTTTAATCTATTAAAATGAACTGCGTGAACTCAAGGTGACCCTCCAAAACCATCTCTTCAAAGCACTGCCTCTCATGTGTGGCAACTTCCAGATAAGCAGGGCTTCAGTTCCCAGCCAGGTCATTGCTGACAATTCCAGGAGTTGATGTCCAGTTAGCCGAAACTTGCCAAGGCTGAGGAAGCTGCTTTAGGACGACTGCAGCTTTTCTGAATCATGAACTGGTTTCATCCCTTAATATCAATCTGTTTGACATTTTCTCATTGCTCTTAATTCCTGTATTTGGCATTAAACCAGATGTGTAAGAAGACAGTGTTATGGAAAAACCCAATGGGAAAAACAAAACAAAACGAGGCAGCAACACAAAGCAATAATTCTTATTTTAAGATTCAGAGGTTTATTTCGGCAATAATTTGGAACACACACATAAACATAACTTACGTTAAAAACCCATTGCAATGAGGTCCAATGACATATCAGTTCCAATAAGGACAGCTATAGGCCAGTGGCAAATCAATCTGGTCCAGTCTCAATCTTTTATACCCTTTCTCATTCTAAGACCGTAGGCAGATGGTCAACAATCTTACACTTTTTGCTGACTTTCTGCTGACCTTTTGCTGAACATAACTTTCTACATACTCCTGTACATTGGAACCCGCATCCATCAGCTACTTTCAGTTCCCTATTTCTTACTGTTCCAGTCCTTATGTTCTAAATATATTTGAAACAAGCAATCTTAGCAAAATCATATTAAGTAAAGTACAATTGCAAACTGCAAAATTAAACATAGCACAGACTTCAGTTCAATACTTTTTCCATGAGGCCTGATTTAATTCACCTGGGCCTAAACCTTGCATGGAAGAACAATAGCCAATATTTTCGTCTTCCACACCAGCTATTAGGAGCATTCTGCCTGTGAGTGTCCCAGAGTGACCTTCACCTGCTGTCAAAAATCAGTGGCTGATCATTTTCAGATTTGAATGGCAGCTGCTCTCCAGGTTTTGGGGAAGGCTTTTTCACCGCCTACTAGATGTTAAACTTAAGATCCTCTGAATGTGAAGGGTGTCCTTTATCACTGAGTTGTAACTCATGCAGTGGGGATACAGGTAGCACCATCTTTTTCTGAAACGCCTGTAGGATGCATGCAGTTAGACAAGAATCTGCTAAGCACTGACTGCCTTCTACCAAGATCTGGGTCCGTGCAAGCAACCCGTTCTTCAGAGACAGAAATATTCTTCACAGTGTTGATTCTTGGGCATGTAGCTTGTTGAATAAACGGATTGGAGAGCTTTGATCCATGTAGCTTCTTTCTTTTTGGTGTCTTGGCCCTAGGTCTCCCCAAATTGCCTTCCCTGAGACGTCCACATTCCAGCAGTGATGCTTTCCCTACCCTCAAACAATGCCACTCGTGTTCTTCTCTGGGTTCTTCTATTTCTGGCCACGGTGAAGTCTTGGCCACTGGGGCGGATGACGTGGCCTCCCGTCGGCGTTCCTCTTGGCTGGAAGGTGACTCGGAGCTGGATTCAGAGTTGGAATTAAGTCCTCCTGGACTTCGTGGCCTGGACTTTGACCCACTAACTTACCAGTGTAGCCCTCCTGTGCAGCAACCGTCCTTCTCAGATGACTCCAGCTCAGCCAGTCCTGTTGCAGCTCTCTCGCCCTGCTCACATCCCAGCGTCAGCAAAGATGCATCAGAAACGTCGGTCTCCTTGCCTGAAAAAGTGCTGGAAATGTTTGCTAGTGGGGAGTCCAGAGGCCTGAGCTCCCCTCCTCATATGATCTCCATGCTCCTGAGTACGGCAGGTGGACAACTCAGCAACGCTTGTGAACGTGAAGTCCGTGGCAAGATTACGCAAGCCCAAGATCACTTGTCTCCACCCAGTAAGTACTTTTTGTCACTCTTTATGATTATTACCATCATTGTTACACACACCGAGTGGGTAAAATAAAACATAACTTCTGCCTATAGGCAGACTGCAGTTCCCCAAAGGTTTGTTTCCCCCCCCCCCCAGAGTTCCAGGAATGACACTGCTAAAATGTCCTACAAATTTTCTATGAAAAAATAAACATCTTTTGGAATGAACACACTACATACCCCCTTTTCCCCCATCATCAATACTTTCCCAAATTCTAGACCTGCTATTTTTGGGATGCCTTGTAGGGCTGGGGATGGGTGGGTGAGTAGGTTATATGGCCTCAAGTGTTTGCTGAATTGCAACACCCAGCAATCTGTGCTGAGGGATGCTGGGAATGTAATATCTGGAAGGTCATAATTTTCCCAACTCTGATGACGATCCCAGCATTCCAGCCTAGATTAATAATACCTTATTAAGTAATACAAAAACTTTATTATTACTTTATTAAGTAATACAAATTAAATAATAAAAAAGTGGGACATCTGGAGAGCCACCGTTTTCCTAACTCTGATAAAGCTCCCAGCATTCCAGTCTAAATTAACAATATTAAGTAATAAAAATTTAAGCTTGCACTCTCCTTCCTGCAAAGTTGGTGTTCACATTTCCTAACACAAGGGGGCGTGGTGGCTCAGCATTTAGAGGTGCTGAGCTTGTCAGCTAGAAAGCTGACAGCCTGGTTGGAGACCTGAGCACCATGTGAGGGGGTGAGTTCTCGTCCTTGCCTCAGCTCCTGCCCACCTGGCGTTTGGAAAGCGAGTAGATCAATAGGTACCACTTTGGTGGGAAAGTAACAGCGTTCCATGTGCCTCGGCATATAGTTCTGCTGGCCACATGACCACGGAAGGGTCTTCGGACAATACTGGATCCCTCGGCTAGGAAACGGAGATGAGCACTGCCCCAAGAGTAGGAGAAAACTGGACAGGGGAAACCTTTATTTTTCCATAATGCAATCCTTATGCTGCCCTCTTTCTTTTCCTAATTCAGGTCCGAAGTCTGAAGCCGCTCCTGTCTCTCCCGGTGCATTGTCCCTGCTGCGGCATATCCCGCCAGCTCCTCCGCCCAAGAACCCGGCTCGCCTGATGGCGCTGGCGCTGGCTGAGAGTGCGCACCAGGCAGCCTTGCAGCAAAAGCGACAGGCCAGCCTTAAGCAGAGGGAACCCCGGACGCATTTCCGACGCTCTCTGTCGCTGGAGTGCAAGGCAGGGGAGCTGACGAGTGGCGCACAAGCCCTCTACTCCATGGTGCGCCCGAGCCCCAAGGTACCTGGCTTCTCCCCGCTCCAGGCGCAGCAGGCCAGGGGCAGGAGCATCGGCAGCCAAAGCCGCAACCTAAAGGGAGGAAGCCAGGTGAGAGATCAGCTCACGAAGGGCTAGGACAGAGCTGGGATAATTTTGCCATTAGGCAGGGTGCAGATTTTGTAGTATTTCTAGAAGGACTTTTTTCCCCCCGTTATACTTTGCTGCCTTTTCGCCACTGGGCCAAAAGATAAAAGAGTATGATGTGGCCCCAACGTGTCCTGAGCTTCCTTGCCATCAAGAGGAAGTCCGGGCTGGATTTTCTGACAAATCTGATGGAGATTTTAGCTACAGAAGAAAAGGAGGTGGGTGGGACGGAGCAGGCAGTAGAGCAGGAAGGGGGCGAAGGAAGGGATGAGGGTGGGAGGTGTTTGCCTGCTTAAAACGCCTTCCTGCTGCTTATTCAGTTTGCCTTGTTTCTCTGCAGGTGCCTCTCAGCCAATCCTCTCCCTTGGGTAGCTCGAATTCCTTTTCCCCTTACAGGAGGGTCCTCGCTGAGCTAGACCAGAGGGACCCCCAGGCCCTTTCCTTCTCAGATCCCTACCACCTGTCCTCCCCATCTCCTGCCTACGGTTTGCATCCCCCTCCCCTGTCAGTCCCCTACCCAGCCTTCCGCCAGCCTCAAGATGCCTTTCCTTCGCCCAGCCCCTCGGCTGCCCCGCCCAAGCCTCCACCCCCTCCCCACTTTCCCATCATGACCAGTCACTTGCCCCTCAAAACGAGGTCCTCCACTTTTCAGCCCTGCCTCACGGACCATCCTCTCCGGCATCACGGCCACTGCCCAGTCTCCCCTCGAGCGGGTGTCAGCGGGAGTCCCTCTTCTCAGCTGGAGCATGAAAACCTCTATTACGAGATAGTGGGGGAGCCTCCTGCATATCCCGGCCTGGCCCGCCCGTGGCCCTCTTGTCCGCCCCCGGAGTACCTGGCCACTTTCAATGCCTCCTACGGGATCTTCGAGAGGCCCTGGCGCCAGAGCCATCTCCCCCCGGCTGCCTCCTCTCTGCAACCCATCTTAAAGAATTCCCAGCTGCAAATCCAGTCCATGCCTCCAGCAGTCACCCGTCAGGAGCCCATCTACGTCAACGTACCCTTCCCCGAACCCTCTTTGCTCAGCCCCACGCCGTCCCCTCCCCTTGAAGCAGCACATCCCCGAAGTCATTCGGACCCGGGAGCTCCTCAGGCTTTGTCCCAGCCCAGCAGACCCCCCCTGCCTCAGAAGCAGAAGCTGGCTTGGGGCTACGCACCCACAGGGCAACACCGCCAACTGATGGACGTTTTGCCTTGCAGCCGGGCTGTGTGGCAGTTCTACCGCCCGCCCTCCGCATGTTGGGGTCATCCCTCTTACAGTCCGGAGCCCATTATCACTTACGACGCGCCCGCCCCCCGCTTGGGGAGCCAGGCCTCGGCACCCTTGCAGAAGCTGGATGAATCTTCCCCACAGTACGGCAATGTGGAAAGGAGAGAGGGATCTCCCTCCGGGTGCTACCTGGGACCCAGCTGGACAGTGTATGCTGAGGGCCAGACGCACAGCTACTGCTGAGAGACAAGAGGTGACCAGATGCAGAGTTTGGATCCTCGGGGCTGGGCTCCGGGTATCTTCTCCTCTCTTCCTTGCCAGTGTTCATGGAATTACACGGTACGGATTGCTGTGAAAAAAATAAAGACTTTGGAAGGATCTATCCGGTTAGGTTATACTCAGAGGTCCCGTCTTTGGCTCCCTTGTTGGGCACTGTGCCTGCCTCGTTTGGAGGACCTCTTTATGGTTTGGAGAGCACACGAATCTTTCAAGGCAGTTCCTATCCCTGCAGGAGGTTTCTCTCCCAAAAAGTCAGCATGACATCACAGAAGAACAATGGATGGCATCATTTCAGCCTTTGGGGCACCATAACACCTCTGCCAGTTCCATTGTGTGTCCATCTTCCTGTTTTGGTTCTGTCCCATGTTGCTTTGTTCCACCTTACCCTCTTTCCAACCATGGACATCTAACCTCAGAGGAGAGCGTTTGCTTCCAATGGGATGACTGCAGCTGGTTCCTTCTGGATTACATCATCTCGACCGCTTTGGCAATGTGAATCACAATAGAGGATGCCTGGAATCCACTAGGGCTGCTAACAGTGCTCATGCCATGCGCTGAACTGACACAGAGAGGCGCTGTTGGTCATGTCTTGCTCACCACTGGAGAAGATTGCAGGCTTCGGAGGGGAGAGCGTGGGCGTTAACAGCTACCCAACCCGGTGTTCCTCTTCTCTTCCAGTATTCAAACCAAAAGAGTTCTAACTTGTAATAAGCATCCTTTTAACCCAATTAAAATATTAACCACCTTCCCCTGCTGGTTTTCCCAGAGATTAAGCCAATTCCTGGAAGAAAGCCATCCCCTGGTCTGTGACAGAGATGTCAAAGGAAATATAAGGTGCCACCGAGCAAGGCAGACGGAGGGCACGCTTGCAACCTCCTTTCCCAAGAGCGCACGCGCGCTGTGTGTTTGCAGCTAGGCAGAGGGGCATGTGGAGGAAAACTAGGGGGAGCATGTTTGGTCTCGTGCATTTCTGTATTTATTTAGGATTTTGGAATGGGTGTGTGTGTTTTACAGAAGGACGGGGGAGGGGGGGGATGCATACAGTACGTGCCTAGCATGGGAGGGCTTGGTGTGATCTAAGCTGCAGGCTCAATGTGTGCTTGAGAGCAGGATTCACGTCTATTTGATATGTGTACATTCATGTCTGGAGTTGGTGCGTGTATGAATGTGTGTGTGTCTGTGAAAATGGTTGTGCATGTTCCACAGACAGTATTTTAGATACCTGGGGTAGGAAAAAGGGAGAGGCGTTTATGCCTTCTTCCTCTTGAGCAGCCATTGGGGACCAGATTGAGATTAAGGCAGGGTTTCTCAATCTTAGCGACTTTAAGATGGATGGACTTCAACTGCCAGAATTCCCCAGCCAGAATATACTGGCTGGGGAATTCTGGGAGTTGAAGTCCACACGTCTTAAAGTCACCAAGACTGAGAAACATTGGACTGGGGAAAGAAGGAAATCTTCTCCCCCCCCCTCTGTACCCCAAGCATCCCCTCACCAAAGCACTTTTCAAGTGGGCCTCTAAGCTCCTTTTCAAATGATTATATTGTCAGAATATAAGAGGGGGGGGGGAGAAAACAAAATAAGCAACGACGGTAATGCCTCGCCTGCATCACGGAGAAGAATATATATATTTTTTCCCCTGAATGCAGTCCAAACTTGAATTTAAGCACTTTGGGATCCTAATGCTTTCAGAGAGAGCCAAGCACAAATTTGAAGCCTCTTTCCCCTGAAATCCACAGCCTGCTCCTGGGCACGCTTGCTTGGAAGCCAGCCCCAGAAAGGAATGCAAGACTGATGCCTGGATTTGTGCACAACTGGACTACAGCCTTAATTGCATTGTTATGAAGCCTCCCGTGGGATCTTTTTTTGGGTGGGTGGGATGGGGTGGGTGGGGGCTGAATTCCTCAAGAGTTTGGGATCTGGGATCTTGGCCACCCCAGCTGGCTGGCACTCTTGTGTGGCGAGATCTAGAGGTTCTCAGTACAGACTTTGCCCACTTAACAGGAACTTTATTCATCTCTACATCTGAAGGATATCTAATTCAGTCCGAAATCTTCAACTCCTCTGATAAACAGGCGTAGGATGTCTCGACCTGCGCTAAAAGAGTTTTAGATCTGGGATTGATTCCCTCCTCGTAATACCAATTGGTTCCACATCTGGGTTTAACACAGAAATTGCACTAATTTTACCATTTTTTGTAACAACAACAGCAACAAAATAATACCACCGTGGTAAAAACTTCCAAGTTGTCCCACATTCTTAACAACCTATCTTCCTTGTTTTTCCAGGAACCGAAAACATTGGAAGCTTTTTTTTCTTGCGGTTTTGCAAAGACACACTGGGGGCAAAAGGGGCCTAATCATCCATGAAAGAACATAATGTTGGAACTTAATCCATGTTCTTGGTTATATCAGGCTGGGGAGACAGGGCAGCCTTGGGGATGGTTAACTATTGTATTCGTTAGTTATATGTAAGGTTGAGTGTCCAAGATCTGGAGAGAACTCAGATTCACAAGTCAATGCTGGCCGTGCTAAACAAACCCTGAAATTACCTGAAAATAGAAGTAGGTTTCTACAAGCTTCTACTACAGGGTAATGATTAGGGGTGTACTAAAGTGATCGCCAAGCACTTTTTAAAAAAAAAGTTTCATTAATTTCTAGCGCTTGGCTGGACGGTGACTATTTCCACCTGAATATCACCAAATTTTGTATATTTACAGGATCGTTCAATCAATACTTATTTTACCAGAGATTAAGGTACATATTGCAGTTCCGACATTATGCGCAACTGGATTTGAGGCATAAATGCAGCTTGAGGGAGGATCTTTAATGCTTTTGACTATACAGGTAGTCCTCAATTTATGACCACAATTGGAACCAGAATTTTGGTTGCTAATGATGCAGTCATTAAGTGAGTCTGGATCCAAATTTACATCCATTTTTTACCACGGCTGTTAAGCAAATCGCAAAGTCATTGAGTGAATCACGCGATCATTAAGTAGGTCCAGCTTCCCCCATTAACTCTGCTTGTCAGGAGCTAGCTTGGGAAGGTTGCAAGTTGCAGTCAGATGACTACAGGATGCTGTAACCATTGTAAATGTGAGCTGGTTGCCAAGCATCAAATCACAATCGTGTGACCGCAGGGATGATGTAATGGCCATAACTTTGAAAATGGGTTATCAGTCACTTTCTTCAGGTCCATTTTAACTTCCGGCCATCGTTAAATGAATGCCTGTTAAGATGGTGCAACTCAAGAGGACTCTGACCTGGGAATTCGGAACAGAATTGGTTTCACGTTAATCATGATTTCCCTGGCAGGTTAGCTCTGTCTCTACCCATCCCACAAAACTGGATGGTAGAATTCTGAGGTGGAAGAGTCGGTCCTCCGTGCAGCCTGATCACTCTTTTGAGTCCTCCTTGATTTGACAGATTGTGATGCTTTGTTCTTCACCACGCTTGTTTCCCATCTGCAATTTATGCAGGAGCATCAAACCATAATATTCGCAGCTGTAATTACGTGGCCACAGTTGCCCCCTCACAGACCTTGGCTTCCTGCCACTTTATTCTGCTGCCTGTGGGCCAGCCACGACTTTTAAGACACACCAAGGAAATGGCTTCCTACTGTTTCCTTTGTACGATACCTCCACGAGAGGCAGAACTTCGAAAGGGAAGAAGATGAGTGACAGTCCCGTGTTCCCCAATACTGTGAAGCGATCACTGCCGTACTGGCCTGTCTATATGTGCCTGTGTTTTTAACAGCCCCCCGTTTCCTTGTTGCCTCTGATGTGCTGCAGTTCTTTTTGGATATAAGTTGACTTCCCTTTTTTTCTGGGATTCTTGTACTAAATGGCTTAATTCAAACCAATTAACAAATAAAGGCAAACTGGCAGCTTGGGTCTGTGGTCGGTCTCACTGTTTGCAGAGATGAAATGGAATAAAATGTATGTATTTATATACCATACTTAAAAATGGACAACAGGCCACTTGGTTCCTCATTTAGTATTCGCAGGGAGAAATTCTTGGATCACACATCTGTTTAGGAGTTGAGTCATTTGACCTGAATGGCTATTACAGCAGAGATTAGTTGTTGTCCTGCGATAGGCACACCAGCCAGGAAGCTAAGCTGTGTTGTCATTCTAGCAAGTGCTAAGAAACAACTGTACTAGTTATAAATGTCCTTGTGTATCCAATCATACTTGGCCAATAAAGAACCTATTCTATTCTATTCTATTCCATTCCATTCCATTCCATTCTTATTTTCTACGCAAGTCATTGGTCTTCTAGAGATTAAATGCTTTTTTGAGACTTCTCTACACACTTGGCTACACAATCAGTAACACCCATGAGTTTTAGCCACAGCTAAAAGGACAGAAAGACAGATGGACAAATGGAAGGACAGACTGATGGATGGATGGATGGACAGGGCAGGGCAGAAAGATAGATGGACAGATAGGTGGACAGGACAGAAAGATGGATGAATGGACGGACAGATCCACCTTGAGCTCCAGCCTGATGCTTCTTTTCTTCTGTTCCAATCTGTTTTGACTGGAACTGGGACTGGACTATTCCCAGTACAGTATTGGGAGTTATTTAGCATATGAAAGATGCTCCATGTCTTGAGTAATTTTCTAGGTCAATGCAGGGTGGGTTTTCATGCCATTTAAATCTTTGTAAATCCCACTGGCTTGGTTATATATATAGAGAGAGGGGGTGGTGGAGAAGGAGAGAGAGAGAGATTATAGGATTTTGGCTTTTTATCACTGCAATTCTATTTTTAGATACCCAAATTGAATTGTCAGATTGAGTTGATTTGGATTCCTGAGGCATTCTCAGTGAATACACACAGCTCAGTCACAGATCAAGTTCCTTACAGAATTTCACAGATTTTTTTTTTTTAAATCTCACGCATACCAAACAACATTTATTATACACTTTTAAAAAAAAGGCATTTACTAAAGTAGTTGGGATGATTTTTCTATAGGAGATATACAATAGGTTTAGATGTAGAGATGCCCAATAGCAAGCTTAGGAAGTAGCCATGCCTTGGAGAATGTGTTATAGTACAGAGGGAATTCATGCAGATTTTTTTCCTCAAGGAAGGGCTTCATCCCTTTGTTCATCTTCTTCCTCTTCTTAGGAAAAAATCCACTTACTTGGCTGGAATTGTTCACATTGTGGTGTAATGGTATATAGCCAGAAGAACGACAGGACACTGGAAAAACAACAATAAATCTCCTTTACTGTAAGCTCCTATTTAATTTTTTGTAATGGTGGTCCCTTTTCCCACCCTGGGTATCTTAAGCTGAATGGTATCATCCATCCCACCACAATCTCTTCTTCAATTTTATCCTCACATGCAATATAAAGACTGGAAGGATCCTTTGAGATCAACTGATCCAATATCCTCCCAAGTGTAATGGAAATTGAAAACACCAATTATGGGAAAGACATGTAAAAGCATTGCTTATTTGATGGCCCACAGATGAATTGGGATTATATTCTGTGAATTTGTAGGCACGGTGAAGAATTGTAGGCCAAACCCATCTAAGCAACACTAGGTTGAGAAAGCCTGGCTTGAAGGCATCTCAACTAGATGTTGTCTAACAAGCAAGAAGTATGCTCTGCATATCAATTCTTGAAGATATGCAACATCATAGATGATGCTAGCTAGTTGGATAATGAAATGTCTGCAAGCAAACAGCCAAGCTTGGAAAGCACCAAGGAATCCATAGTTCAACCCTGAACTACATATATTGTCTTCCAGTGAAGTTCTTGAAGAGTAGCACCAGGAGGAGACTAATGTCCTCTGGTTCTGCTGGTGAGTTTCCCATGAACACTCAGCTGGTCCTTGTGGAAACTGGGATATTGAAGAAGTTTTTGAGGACAGATAGAGGGGAGTACATACAGGATAAGTTTCACGGATAAGCAGAGCTTCAGAACAATTCTCAAGTGTTAGCTATTCTCAAGCTACAATGTTCCCCAATCTCTGATTTCTTAAGCCACAGCTCCTATAGCAGTGGTGGCGAACCTTTTAGAGACCGAGTGCCCAAACTGCAACCCAAAACCCACTTATGTATCGTCGGGTGCCAGGTGGGCATGGCCGAGTGGGTGGGTGTGGTCCCTTGAGTGGGCGTGGCCCATTGGGTGTGTGTGGCTTCGGTGGTAACGGCAGACTGGGTGGGACTAAAAAGTTCAATCAATTCCAACTTTGCAAGATCTTTTTTTTCCCCGCAAGAAGTTGAAATTGACTGATTGATTGAACCTTTTTTTTTTTTGCACACAGCGGCGGAGGCCTAAAGCGAAAAGGTTTTATAAAACCCAGCTGAAGGCCTAGGACTGGGGTGACGGTGCGTGTGCCCATAGAGAGGGTTCTGAGTGCCACCTCTGGCACCCGTGCCATAGGTTCGCCACCACTGTCCTATAGTTTCCACCACAAAATTTTGGAATTGCAGCCCCAACACATCAAAACAATCCTTTTGGTGATGACTTACTGTGAACATAAGAATGGCAAAACCAAACCAGGAGACGCCCCAGGCATAGCTTTGTACTGCATGCTTAATGTGCTCAAAGCAGCCCTGAGAAGGGAAGAACAAATCAGGAAGATTGCCTTGAAGAGGAGTTGCTGATGGTACCAATACCCCCAAGAATGCAAAGATGGTAGGTAACATCAGGATAAAGATGGAAGAAATTGGTACCTTAGTGTTGATGTAATCAGTGTGCCCCAATCTGCAGCCCTCCTCGTTGACCATGATAAAGTTTGGATCACGTTTGCAGCAGTAAAATGGCCAGGGTGCCACTGCTTCAGGGTATCTACTTCGGAAGACGGAGGTATAGTTTACCCAGTCCAAGGGATTATTGGCACCACAACATTGTTGCTAAAAGTGAACCGGGGGAAAGAAAGATCATATATTTATTGCAAACAGGATATTCTGCTGCCTTTTCTCAGTTTTGGGGTACAGGTAGTCCTTGACTTACAACAGTTCATTTAGTGACCTTTCAAAGTTACAAACGGCACTGAAAAAAGTGACTTATGACCATTTTTCACACTTGCAAACATTGCAGCATCCCAATATTCACGTGATCAAAATTGACAGGTTTGGCAACTGGTTGTCCATGGGGTCATGCGGTCACCTTTTGCGACCTTCTGAGGAGTGAAGTCAATGGGGAAGCCAGATTCACTTAACAACCGTGTTGCTAACTTATCCACTGCAGTGATTCACTTAACAACTGTGGCAAGAAAGGTCGTAAAATGGGGCAAAATTCGCTTAACCGATGTCTCATTTCGCAACAGAAATGTTGGGCTCCCTGGGATCATAAGCCAAGGACTTTATACTTTCTATACTTACTTACTATACTTTCTCTGGACCAGACTTTCTGCCACCCAACTCTTCCTTTAGAAAGCGTAGTTGAAACTGATTTGGGTTGTTTTGGATTTTGCAGCTTTTAAGCCTATCAATATTGCAAAGAACTGATAGTTGGTGAGGACGTGTTCTTTTTCTGATCAGTGGCTGAGCAGAGCTGATGTCCCATACCTGGTGCTGCGTCCTGTGCTCTCAATTTCACTCCAATCCCTTCCCTAGCTTCAAAATTCCCAATCGCTAGCATTTTGACTCAGCCTGGCAGTAAAGTTGCATTCATTTCACAGTCCCTACATGTGTTGGAGCTACAATTGGATGAAGGACAAAAGGCAAGGGTGTTCTCATAGGCTGGATAATGACATATACCTCCATCATGAAACGGTCCCACATCCGAGTGAGTTCTCGGCCTTGGTCTGTGTCTGCTGAGTAGAAGCCCAGCATCTGCTTGGTTACCAGTTTGGAATTTGATACTACCTGGGGTGGGGAAGAAGGAGAGAATGTTGGTCAGCTACATTCCCCAAGCCCAGATACACAAACATTTCACTTCCAAAGTTTCAGCGTACATAAAGATATGCAAACAGATTTCTACATTTCCAAATACATTTCCTTCTGCACAGCATTTCTGGTTTTTCTTTTTTAAGTATGCAATCTGTGAAAAAAAAAAGTACCGTTCAAAAATGAGAAGAAAAACCCAAATATTTCTAGATTGTCTTGCTCTTCTAGAATGAGACAAAATGACTTTTCCCCCCCTCCAGGAATCATTTAGTACTATCTTATAACCAATTATGCATCCAACAGAAGCAAAAGCTGTATGAATTGATGTCAACTGTAGGATCAACGAATCCATAACCTTATAATAAGCAACCATGGCCTTTCTTATCTATTTTGGACGAGCTTTGGGTGTCATGAAAGTTCATGAAGAGCCAATGGATCAAAGAAATTTGCCAACATTCCCATATTATATGCAAGCCTACCATGAAAATGATTGAGTAATAAGGCTGACAAAGGACAAAAATGAAGCTTCATTAAGATTCCCAGACTGAATTATGTTTTGGATGGATCATTCACCATGATGAAAGCAGACATTGGGAAAGGCTGTGTACTCCTGTCCATGTGGAGTGAACCAAAATCTTGCTTTTAAATCAAGTTGGGAAGAATTTGCACCCTGTACTTACAAAATCACGATGTGCGTAGGAGCTGATACAAGAGGCACATTCAAACAAGTAGACAACCAGGATCAGTACCAGGTACTGAAAAATAAGAAAATAGAGAATAAGATTCGATGCCAAGGGAAAAAAAAATCACACCTGGAGACATTTTTCCCCAGGATATTCACTATGGATTAGAGATAATTATTGTATCCCTGGATTTGTAGATACGCAGACATTTGTTGCTATTGTTGTTGCTGTCCCATATTCTAGTGCAGGGGTAGGCAACCTTGGCTCTTTTATGACTCGTGGACTTCAACTCCCAGAATTCGTGAGCCAGCTATGCTGACTCAGGAATTCTGGGAGTTGAAGTCCACGAATCATAAAAGAGCCAAGGTTGCCTACCCCTGGTCTAGTGAGCCATTATGATGGCCTGACTTTCAAAGAGGGATAAGCAAATCCACATAGAAGAGATATTGATGAACATTCATTATTTATACCATTTTTGATCTGGAGACAGTACGTACATTCCATTTTCTGGGGGGGGGGACATCTGAGAGTGAGATGCATTGCCTTTAACACTGGATTATAAGCATGGCTGTTATAGAGACAGAATGTGATACTAGAACAGTGGTGGCGAACCTATGGCACGGGTGCCAGAGGCGGCACTCAGAGCCCTCTCTCTGGGCACGCGAGCCGTCGCCCCAGTCCTAGGCCTTCAGCTGAGTTTTATAAAACCTTTTCGCTTTAGGCCTCCGCCACCGCATGGAAAAAAAAAGGTTCAATCAATCAGTCAATTTCATCCTCACGGGGAAAAAAAAGATCTTGCAAAGTTGGAATTGATTGATTGAACTTTTTAGTCCCACCCAGTCTGCCGTTACCACCGCAGCCACGCCCACCTAATGGGCCACACCCACCCGGCACCCGACGATGCATAAGTGGGTTTTGGGTTGCCGTTTGGGCACTCGGTCTCTAAAAGGTTCGCCATCACTGTACTAGAACATTAATGTTGAAATGAGAATACAGATAGTCCTCAACTTATGACGATTCATTTAACAAGAGTTCAAAGTAACGATGGCCTTGGAAAAATTACTTACAAACTGCACTTGCACTTACGACTGTTGTACACTCTCACAGTCATGTAATCACAATTTAGTTGCTTGGCATTCGGTTGCAGCATCACACAATCATGATTTGCAACCTTTTTTTTTGCTGATATTCGGCAAAAAACGCCCATTGGGAAAGCTGGATTCACTTAAGGACCACATGATTCACTTCACAACTGTGGTGATCCAGGTAATGATTGCCATAATAGCTGTTGTATAATTGGGTCCAACTTGATTTACAACTGCAAAGATTGACAATACAAATGCCAGTCCCAATTGTGGTTGTAAGTTGAGGGCTATCTGCCAAGGTTACCTACTTAAGCTTTAATTCATGGAAATGGATACCCAGACTTTGCTTAAAACATCTCCAGCATAAAAAAGCTCTTATAACATTTCTTCTAATGTACTGCTAAAATCTATTTCCTTATAATCCCATCCACTGGTTCTTATCCTGCCCTTTGAAGCAACAGAGGATGCATATTCAGCAATTATAGACCTTTGGATATATGTATAGATTCTTAGAAAAATACAAGTAATTTTTTTTGACCAGAGACAACAATGGAATTACACACCAGGAGCTACGATTCTCTATTCCAAGCCATTCCTACTTTGTCTTGGTTATTTTCACTTGCATTGACCTTCATCTCTTCCCATAGAAAAGAGAAAGCTTTACAGATAATCCTCAACTTAACAACCATTTGTTTGAAGTTACAACAGCACTGAAAAAAGTGACTTATGACTAGTTTTCGCATTTATGACTCTTGCGGCAGCCCCATGGCCACGTGATCAAAATTTGGGCAATTGGCATAGATTTATGACAGTTGCACTATCCTGGGGTCATGTGATTACCAACGGTAACCTTCCCAACTGGCTTCCGATAAACAAAGTCAATGGGGGAAGTCAGATTCATTTAATGACCTCATTATTCACTTAACAACTGCTTTGCTCAGCAATTATCATTGTAAGTCAAGGATTACTTGTATTGGGTTGGCTCTTTCCCATCTCTAACCAGAGTTACGTTGAGAAAATGTAGAGTTTAGAGAAGTCTGTTTCTTCTGTTACTCACCAACAACACCATGAGGCGGCTGCCGTTCACAAGGCTGATAATGCCAAAGACGCAAACGCAGAAGAAGCAAAACCCAGTGAAAATGGAGATCCAGGCGCCGGCATAGACATCATCTTTGCCGGTGACCCCCAGGATGGGGTAGACTTTATAGGGATCAGCTGTTACCCAAATAGACTCAGCACAGAGTGCCAGCCCTGAAAGCTGTAGAAACAGAGGAAGGTTGATAAGCCACCAAACTATCATGTATCAGACCAGGTTCTTTGTCATCTGGCATGTCCAAGGAGTGTGATGTAGTGGGTTCTTGTTTAGTTTAGCTTCCTTTGTAATCTCTCGGCGTTGCACCCACACCTTTTCAGGGTTCTGTGTAATTTTGGGGCCTCAAGTTGTGCATTTCTCATTTCATGTACAGTATTATATGAACCCCATCATAGTGGTTTATTGGAATCTGGCCAATGATGATTCATTCAACATAGTACAGTCAATCATGGTTTAACTCAATATTCTAAAGAAGTTTTTTTTTTATCAGAACCATGAGTTACGTCATTCTGTTCCCATCTTATTTTTTCAGTTATCAAATTCAAACCCAGGAATTTTCCTATTCCTGAGACATATTGTTGTATTGCTCTCTTACCATAATAATAACATTGCCTGCCACCAATAGCCCCACAACAAAGGGGGATCTCTTTTCTGCCATGTTTTCCAGGAATGGTTCCTTGGATACCGGCTCTCAAATTCTGCAGAAGGGAGGCTAAACAAACAAACAAATAAACAAACAAAAATAAAGCAATTTGCTAAGTGAAGGAGAAATTCAGTTTATTGCTTTTCTCAATTCTTTCTCCTTCTTTGGAGTACTGTAAAGGGCATTTATGTAAACTAGCTTAAATACCTTCAACATCTGCACTTAGTAAAATGCAAATTTGTTCTGGTTTGCCAGTTAGCTAACAAGCTGGTTTGTGATCCAGGTGTTCCATGGCATGTACATTTGTATCAACATATTTTTGTGTGTGTGCGTTCTCTGTGGTACACACCAGATAGTACTGCTGACATCCTTAGCTACTTTTCGAAAACATGTATTTTAAGCCAGTGACTTCCTGAATACTTTCGGGTCTTGTTATTCAATTGCTTTAAATGGGTCAAGGTTTACACAAGTGAGAAGTATAAAGAGGAGGCAACATTGAAAATGCATTTGGTTCCCAGGCCAACAGGTACATTGACGTAACTACTCTTATGCTTTTGACATCTCCAAAAGAGTCCTGAAAGATAGAAGGAATTAATACTGAATGCTTGGGAAAAATAGAGGTGCAACAATATATTGTTTACCATGTATCTTAGCTGACCTGCAGAATGAACCTGCAAGCAATTTAGGGAACCCCATTCCCTCTTTTCCAATCGCCAGATTCTCAAGGGAAGTTCTGCTTGCCATTTCTGAAGCCTAGAGGAATACCTTCCATGTGATCCAAAGTAGACAAAGCTGGTGTTGAAATTCTGGAGTCCCAGAGATATTCATGGTCCAAATCATTCATGATAAAGAGTAATTAACATATTTAGTGCTAAGTGAGTTGATAGGAGGAGAAGGAACAGTCAGAGCAGAAGGGAGAAGGAAGAAGAGAAGGAGAAGGAGAAGGAAGGGAGAAGAAGGAGAAAGAGAAGAAGGACGCTTCAGAAAAGATAGAATTCAGAAGAGAGAGATAGTCTGCACCAGTGGTGGGATTCAGCCAGTTTGCACCAGTTCGGTAGAACTGGTAGCTATTTTTTTGTTGCCCAGGCCCACAATGGACTTCTGGAAGTGGCATCCACACAGAGAGCCGGTTGTTCACATATTTGAATACCACCACTGGTCTGTGCCATGGGTGTCCAACCTTTTGGCTTGCCTGGGCTACCCTGAGTGAAGAGGAATTGTCTTGGGCCACATATAAAATGTATAATAGAGTTAATATATGTATATCACATAATGTTAAAATTTTACGATCTTGTGAGGCCACATTACTAGCTACCTAGGGCCTCAGGCCGCCCATGGACACGCTTGGTTTACCCTGTGGCTGACAGACATTTTCAGCCATTTGATTCGACCACAACCCCTTTGCTTTCCAAACTGGGCATGGAATTATGAATTAAAATATTTTGCAATATGTTTGTGCATCTGAATCAAGCAAGGGGCAGATGGAAAGAATCAAACACTGAAACTCCACCGGGAAAGTAGCTCTGATCAGGGAGTGACTGTCTGCAACTCCTGATTCTTGCCTACTTGAATCCGCAAAGGGCAGGTTTAACTTGTCAGGTTGGACATAAGGCTGAGGACACAGCATAGCAGAGATTCCTGGATGTCCACATTGCACCATCCAGGATAGCTCTGCTGGGAGAAGGAAAGGAAAATAAGAGCTAAGTTTTCTACATCTTAAACCAGTCCTGCCTGGTGTGCTTTGCCCCACCTTTCTGAGAAAATACAAAGTTTTCTCTCAGGAGGCGATCACCTGCCTATCTACTGATCAGAATCTGAGAGGAATGAATGTGGATTTAGAAATTCACCCTCTTTTTCGCCAGTGTTTCTCAAACAGGAGTTGGCCTTCTAAGCCAATTAGCAAAGAACACTGTGAAAAGCTGCAGTTGCTTTAAAGCAGGGGTCTCCAAACTTGGCCGCTTTAAGACTTGTGGACTTCAACTCCCAGAATTCCTCAGCCAGCAAAGCTGGCTGAGGAATTCTGGGAATTGAAGTCCACAAGTCTTAAAGCGGCCAAGTTTGAAGACTCCTGCTTTAAAGGGTACATATTGTATCAGTTCCAATGTGTAAATTTTCAACCTGTGTTACTATTATTATTTATTTCACTAAATTAATAGGCTACTCTGGTTGCAAATGACTCCGAGTGGTATAAACCTCACCTCTGTAAACTGAATTAAATACAATAAAAACAAAACACAGGTAACAGTCGACTTAGGATGGACCACCACTGAGTCCAAAATTTCTGTTGCTGAGAGAGACATTTGTTAAGTGAATTTTGCCCCATTTTACGACCTTTCCTGCCACGGTTGTTAAGTAAATCACTGCAGGTGTTAAGTTAGCAACATGGTTGTTAAGTGAATCTAGCTTCCTCGTGGACTTTGCTTGTCAGAAGGTGACAAAAGGGGATCACATGATCCCCAGGGACACTGCAACCGTCATAAATATGAGACAGTTGCCAAGCGTCTGAATTTTAATCACATGATCACACAGGGAATGCTGAAGTGTTTTTAAGTCTGAAAAACAATCATAAGTTACTTTTTTTCAGTACCGTTGTCACTTTGAATGGTCACTGAACGAACTGTTGTAAGTCAGGGACTATCTATATAATAAAAGATGTGTCTATAGCACTGGGCACATTACTCAATTCAATTAAAACTAAACAGAAACCCTCCATTGCTAAGAAGGTATGAATTTTATTGGGTAAACACACCACCCATACCAGTCAAAGGATTTCTACCTTGCCCTTTTAGTACGTGTGCTTTGTTCAAGCCAGATTCCATTTAAAATTATTATTAAAAAGAAAAGTCTCATTTGAGTTAAATGATCATTGTCTTAAGATTGGATCCATCCTCTATGCATTTTTTTTTGGGCAATGCTACAAAAATGGCTTTTTTCTGTCTTCTTCCACGATATTTTGATTTCCTGACCTAGTTTATCTCTCCAGGAATTTGCAAAGCCTGACTCTGCTTCACCTCAGAGTTCAGGCGCAATTAATCAAGCGTATCCAATTACTGAAACTTAAAAAATGGTACTGAGTTTAAAATACTTAAAAGACAAAGAAGTCCCCCAAAAATGCATTTCTAAAAATGCAAAAGAGAGTTCCAAAAACATCTTAAAACAGGCAAAAGCAAGCAATAATTGTTTTTATTGTCTACGGAGTGAATGCTGTCTTAAAAAAGACTGTCTCAAGCCACTGGCTCAAAATCAACAGAGAGAGCATCAACTTGGCCTTCTGAATTAACATTTAGATGAAGCTACTGAGAAGGCCCCTATCACTACCAGTCATCTCAAATATTATATATTGGAAAGGTAAGAGGATAAGATTGGGGAATAAGCTAACAATGCATAACCAACCCAAGATATTTTGTTGCTTGAAGCAAAGGACAAAGCAAAGGATTCGGATTTGAAAGCGGCAAGGGAGCTCAAACATCATCGTCTTCCCCTGGGGCACCACCTTATTCCAATGGGAGGGCCATCTTGCCAGAGAGCTGGGTGATGGAGGAGTGGTAACAGTTCACAATTCTGGCAGCGCCTCCTGACTTCAACTGGTGCCAGACTAAATAATGAGCCTTATCTGTGGTGATGTTCTTGTCTCAGGAATTAACAACAAGTCCAAAGTTCTGGTAAAAACAGGAAAATCAGACTTTGACTCCTGTGCCAAGGTTGTGCATGTCATTGTCTGAAGGACCTCTATCCTCAAACCACTGCCAATTCTTTTTAGCATTAGAATCAGTTTTATTAGAAATGTATGGAATCCAATCAATCTGGCTTAGCTAAACATCCATTTCCTCTTAAATTAGGTATTTCCAAAAATTAAAACAAAAACAAAAACAAACCAGTTGGACCCAAAATAATATTGAAGGACAGAAGAAGAGCCTTCTCTGCGAAATTAAAATATTCTGATTTAGGATTTTTGTACATCTTTCCACTGATTTGGATTGTAAACTTTAAAAAATATTACAACGAGAGCAGTCCCTATAAAATACAGAAAAACATCCCAGCAAAGCCAAGGTGCAAACAAACAAACAAAAACACCCAACTCCACAAACACAAAGGGTAAATCAATGCTTTGTCAACCCAACAGATGAAATGAATATTTTAAGGTATCTTCTGGATGCTGTTTTGGAGAATATCCTTCATCCCATTTTGTTGGCTCAACTTCTAAATCCAAATAAGCCAGGGATTTTTCAGAGAAAATGCCGACAAAAGAAAACCGCCAGGAGAACTTAGCTGGGACAGCCCCGCCCCCAAAAAAGAGCATCCTCCAGCCTCTCCCTTTTTTAGTTTTGCCAAATAGTAAGGCAAGACATGACATCACATCCAGTAGGACTCCCTCCCAGTTCAGTGTTGCCTTAGCACACATTTTAAAGTGGGGAGGGAGGAATAAAAAGATTCTCTAAAAACTTTAGGAATACCAAGTTATGGACAGGAGAAAGCTCAAGCTGTTTCCTTTGCTGAGAGTTTCTGCAGTGCATGACCAAGAAACCATCCTTGAGAGGAATACAAGAAAAATTGTAAATAACCCAGGGATACCTTTCACAAGCCTTCCTCATAATAGCCACAGAATTCAGAGCAGCTGTTAAACGCCCCTCATAACAGATCTTCTCTTTAACCTGACCCATGTCTCCTTTTAAATAAAAGCTTGGAAAGCACACCTCTTCCCCCATTTTTAATACTATAAGCCTTCTAACTGTGACAGCCATGGTATAGGAGACAATCTGCTCTTCCACTAGATTACAAGGTTTAATGGATCATAGTACCCGGCCTTCCGATATAAATTCATGCATATCTGCACTTGGAGATCCAGGTTGCTACAAGGCATGGTTCATTCATTCATTTTTAGTATTGCATTTCAATAATGTATTCTGGATGCTCAAAGGTCTTTTAATTTAATAAACAGAACACATTTTTTAACATACATTATGCTAAGAGAGTGAACAAGTAGGGACTTGAACCTGTATTGGTTCCTAGTCCCA